TCCAGAAATTTTCTTTGTTGTTGTAATTTTTGTGCGTCGTAGATTCAGATGAAGTCGTAAAACCCCAGATCCTAGCTCGATTTTGATTTTATTGAGATTATACGTTTTTCTGTTGATTTAGATTGTGTTAATTTTTGGATCTGAGTGTTATTAGCCGGAAATCGATTAGGGTTTTTTGTGAAATTTGCGCCTGAGAGTTTTAGAAGTCAGGGCTTGAGTGAATGGCGACGAATCCTCCTCCATTTGCGGTGGAGGATGGCTCGGACGAGGATTTTTTTGATAAGTTGGTCAATGATGATGATGAAGATGTGGGATTCAATGTCGCCACCACGTCTGTTGCATCCGGAGGCCCTGTCGTGATGGATGGGAATGAATCCGATGAGGCGAAGGCCTTTGCAAATTTGAGTATCAACGAGCTTGATGATAATGGTGAGGTAAATTTTGACAATGATAGTGACCATATTATTGGTGAAGAGGATATAGGTGCGAAAACTGAAACTGTTATCGAACATATCAATGAAGTTGGAGACGTGGAGGAGAAAGGAAATCCACTGGCCTCATCCAGTTCTTTCGAGTTTGATAATCTGGTACAGAATCTGGGTAATGCAAATGATGGCACTGAAGTTTTGCCAGATTCGGCATTGGCAAGTAATAATAAGACAACTGCAGATAAGGGTTCATCTGATGTGGTGATAATGAGCAAGAGTAGTGACGAATCAGGAGCTCCTGGAGTTAAGCAGGTGGACTGGAGCTCGTTTGCTGATTCCGCTAAGAATGACGATGGGAAAGGCTTCGGATCATACTCAGATTTTTTCAGTGAATTTGAAGGGGATAATACTGGTGATGCATTTGGTAAATTGGTGGAGGATACTTCCAAGAGTGGGTCACAGAATTCTATACATGGGTCCTCGTTTGCTGGAAATTCAAACAGCTGTGGACAGTACAATGAAGGATATTACAACGATGGTATAGCGGCAGATCAGGGTTCATATACGCAGGATATGAACAGCAGTCAGTATTGGGAGAGCCAATATCCTGGTTGGAAGTACGATCCAAGCACGGGCCAGTGGCAACAGGTTGATGGTTTTGATGCAGGTGAAAGCATGCAATCGCAAGTCGACTCGTCTAATATTTCTTCTTCTTGGGGAGTAGCTGATGGGAAAACTGAACTTTCTTATATGCAGCAAAATGCTCAATCTGTTGCTGGTGCTGTTGCTGAGGCAAGTACGACAGAGAATGTTACAAATTGGAGTCAGGTTGAGCAAGTGAGTGGTGCCGTAAATGTGGTTCCACCATCCTCGCATGAGAATAATGGTTACCCACCTCATATGGTGTTTGACCCTCAGTACCCTGACTGGTATTATGATACTATTGCCCAGAGCTGGTTCACTTTGGAATCATACACTGCATCAGCTCAGTCAACTGCTCAAAGTGAGGTGCAGATGAATAATCAGATTGACTATGCATCAACCGAGGCATTGGCTCGGAACAGCTCTATTGAAGAATTCAATGTTAATGGTCAAGCAAATAATTTTGTATCTCAAGGTTTCACATCTCAGGGCTTAGATAAAAGCTGGGTGGGTTCAGTCGGGAACTATAACCAACAAGGCTCAACAATGTGGACACCTGAAGCTGTTGACTACACTGAACCTACTTCAGTTTACAATGGCAACCAAGCAATAGGGAATCAGTACGGGCAGAATCTGTCTCTGAGTAATCATGGGAGTCAACAAAATTCTGTTCAGTATGGAGCGAAAAATTCGTATCTCGATAATCTAAATCAGAATCAACAAAGTTCTGTTCAGGCTGGGGTGAACAATTCGTATTACAATAATCTAAGTCAAAAGCGCACCGACTTTCATGTGCCTTCTCAGTTTGTTGGTGGCCGGGACGTAAGTCAACCTTTCAGTGATGCCTCAACCCATCGGAGGGACCTACATGTCTCAAATGACCTTTACAGCAACCAAAACACAGTCAACTTTCTGCAGCAACAAAGCCTGAATGCTCAAATCTCATATACTCCCGCTTCTGGAAGATCTTCTGCTGGTCGTCCTCCCCATGCTTTGGTTAGCTTTGGTTTTGGAGGAAAGCTTATTGTGATGAGGCAGACCTCTACTGACAACTTGAACTTTGGTAGTCAGGTTGGTGTCTCGACCTTCTTTTAAGTTTTTTTGTCACATATACATGCTTTTTTTATCATATTATTATTATATATATATTTTTTTTTTGAAGAATCCTGTGGGTGGCCCCATATCTATTCTGAACTTAGCAGAGGTTGTGAGTAGCAGCATCGACACTCCAAGCTACGAAACAAGTGCTAGCAGTTATTTCCAGACGCTTTGTCGGCAACCTTTACCAGGCCCACTTGTTGGTGGAAGTGTTGGCACTAAGGAGTTGAACAAATGGATTGACGAGAGAATAACAAATCTCAAGTCTGCCAACATTGATCCCCAAAGATCTGAGGTTTTGATTTTGCTCCTATCACTACTGAAAATAGCTTGTCAGTATTATGGCAAACTTCGATCTCCTTATGGCACAGATGCTGCATCAAAGGTACATTGTTTATTAGGTCAATCACTTATCAGTGAACCTCTGATTCTTATGATTAGTCGAATTACTCATGATCGAAGGAGGCTGTTCCAATATCAGTAAAGGAAAAACAACTTGCTTTGGTATAACACACACAAAGGTGTTCATATTATATCTTCTGATAACTTGCATTCAATATATAGTTACATATAACAAGCAGCAGATGGGCAAGTATTTCAGGTAACGACAGTAAGAATGTGGGCGGGCATGTATATTATATAAACTCTCGACTTGGTTAACGACCTAAAGAATATTGAATTTGCCATGAATTATAAAGATTATAATCATTGCCTATTATAATAACTTTATTTGTTCCTGCAATGATTGAAGGGTTTGATAGTAATATTTCTGCAAACTGTAATGATTTTCTGGAAGTTAGATGATTCCGTAGTTGTTTCCTGACTCCGTGTGTCATTGTTGAATTTGGTTCTCTCTAATTCCAACAGGAAAGTGATTCTCCAGAATCAGCAGTTGCCAGACTGTTTGCTTCTGCTAGAAGTGATTCACAGTTTAGTCAATATGGTTCTGTTGCTCAATGCTTACAGCAACTGCCATCTGAAGCACAAATGCGGGTACAATGATGTACTATATAGATATACATGGGGCTTTTGCTTATACCATGCACCATCACTTAAAGAAATATAACTCATGTCTCAGGCCACAGCGGCCGAGGTTCAAAAACTTCTGGTTTCTGGAAGAAAGCAAGAGGCTTTACAATTTGCGCAGGAGGGTCAGTTGTGGGGTCCTGCCCTTGTTCTTGCTGCACAACTTGGGGATCAAGTTAGTCACTTCATCCTATTTAATGAAAAATTGAATTAGATAGAATCATGTGCTGTCCTATTTGTTTGTATATTTATTTATTTAACTTTGTAATATAATCTATACAGTTCTATGCTGAGACTGTCAAACATATGGCACTTAAACACTTGGTAGCAGGATCACCTTTGCGAACCTTATGCCTGCTAATTGCTGGTCAACCTGCTGATGTATTTTCAACGGATAGCACAGCTGTTAGTGGCATGACTGGTCCAGTAGCTATGTCTCAGCAACCAGCGCAGGTATGCTACATAATGAGTAAGCAAAAGTGCACCCTTTAATACTTCTTAACAGGGCCTTGATTAATATGTGGTGTCATATATGTCAAAATCTCTATGTGTAAATATATCCCTCGATTTTTAGTTCAATATTTGACAATAGGTTTATGGTAGTGTATATTAAGCCTGAAGTGGTCATTTAGGGTGTTTGTTAAAATTTTTACAGTTTGGAGCTAAAGGCATGCTCGATGACTGGGAAGAAAATTTGGCCGTGATAACTGCAAATAGGACTAAGGATGATGAGCTAGTGCTTCTTTATCTTGGAGATTGTTTGTATAAGGAGAGAAGCAATGTATGTTCTGGTTATTTTCCTTTTTCTCGTGCTAATATTTGTTTTCATATTCATGGGAGTTTATCAGTTTTAAGAATTGCACCTTCTCAATAGTCTAATGATTGGTGCTCAGATGATTGCTGCTCACATATGCTATTTGGTTGCTGAAGCCAATTTTGAGCCATACTCGGACAGTGCAAGACTGTGCCTTATCGGTGCAGATCACTGGAAATTCCCACGGTCATATGCAAGTCCAGAAGCCATTCAGGTGTGGTCCAATTGTCATTTATTTGGCAATCATTTTCTTTTTGTGCTAGTACTATCTAATTCACTTCCTACGGCTTTGGACCGTCGCAATACATTACTGAATCATGGGAAATAGAAGAACAAGAATAGTTCAAATATCAAGAGCATGTAATGGACTCAAAATGTTCTCACTCTTTCAGTCTGGATCTATCTTCCTTATGCTATGTATTTGAAGCTTAGTAGTGCCCTTTCAGTATTCTGTGTATGGATCACCTTGTAACTTTAACCTTCCAAGAATAAGAATCCACCATAAGTTTATAATCAACGCTATGCCTTTGTGCATGAGAGCAGCTGTTGTACTCACTGAGTAGAAACTTGTTGCAATCTTATAGATGTTTGATAACACTGTTTTGGTGATTAGGCTTCAGCCTATTTTATTCTGGTGGCTTCTGAGACTGATTGTTATGATTGTTTCTATTTGGGAAACTGGTATGTGTCCATGTGCTCGTTTGACTCTTGCATATTTTCAGAGGACGGAGATATATGAGTACTCAAAGACGCTTGGAAACTCGCAGTTTGTCCTACTCCCATTCCAACCATATAAATTTGTATACGCGCACATGTTGGCAGAAGTTGGGAAACTATCAGAAGCATCGAAGTATTACTCTTTTACTTCAAATTATCTCGTAAAAGTTCTCTTTGTTTTCTCAGCATAATCTTTTGATGTAGGTACTGTCAAGCAGTATTAAAATCACTTAAAACTGGTCGATCTCAGGAAGTGGAGACACTGAGACAATTAGTCTCATCTCTTGAGGAAAGGATCAAAGCTCATCAGCAGGTGTTACTCTGTCATGTTTGCAGCTTTGCCTTATTGAATTCTAAATTCCTGCATCTATAACTTGTTATCTTGATGAATCCTACATTCCAGTAATTGTAATTACTCATCATGTAGGGTGGGTTCTCGGCTAATTTAGCCTCGAAGGAATTTATTGGTAAACTGCTTAACCTCTTTGATAGTACTGCACATCGTGTTGTTGGGGGTCTGCCACCACCTGTACCAACCGCAAGTACTACTGCACATGGTAAAGAAAATAATTACCAATCGATTGGATCTAGAGTATCATCTAGTCAGTCAACAATGGCTATGTCATCGTTAGTACCTTCTCAATCTATGGAGCCTATAAATGAGTGGGCAGCGTCTAGCAACAAAATGGTTATGCATACCAGAAGTGTTTCCGAACCGGACTTTGGAAGAAGTCCAAAGGTTTGTTTACCTAGATGCTTTGTTTATTGCTCTTCACAGGTTCCTTCTGGTTTTGTTATGCTGCTGAAAAAACAAATGAGGTTTTCTCAATTCATTTTTTATCAGGATGATACATTGAAGGAAGCAAGTTCCAGTGGTGTGAAAGACAAAGCTTCAGCAGCTGGAAGTACATCTCGCTTTGGTCGTTTTGGTTTTGGATCTCAGCTGTTGCAGAAGACTGTTGGTTTGGTGCTTAAACCTCGCCAAGGCCGCCAGGTAATATGAACAGGTTTCCTGTTTGACATTATACTTTTGTATTATGTATTTGAAGTTTATTGATTTGGTTTTTATATGGTTCTATTATATTCTAGGCAAAACTGGGTGAAACAAATAAGTTTTATTATGATGAGAAGCTCAAGAGATGGGTTGAGGAGGGTGCCGAACCTCCAGCACAAGAAGCAGTCCTTGCTCCACCACCTACAGCTTCAGTTCTTCAGAATGGAACATCAGAATACAACTTGAATAATGCTATGCATAGTGAAGCTTCTCATAGCAATGGAAGCCCAGAATTCAAAACCCCAAGTGCTGTGGACAACAGTCCTGGAATGCCACCACTTCCCCCCACGACCAATCAGTACTCGGCACGTGGAAGGATGGGTGTTCGATCTAGGTAAAAATCACGGAAAAATCATCTTTAATGATTTATGATGATATATTATAATATACTAGATCATCTACATCTCATTTGGAGTGAAAGCAGATATTGTTATATAACGATGCTCAAGTATGAAGGATATCATTGGGTATTTATTTGACTTCTTTGGATTGAGTTATATTGTTTGAGACACGGTACTGTAACTTGTGACCCTGCGAACAATAACATACCAGGAAAAAACTGTGTGTTTCATTCATCCTGACAAATGGTTGCCTTGCCGCCACGTTTGTCTTTATAATCATATTAACTGTTTCAATTGTGTTTCTTTATTATGGAATCTTTACATAACAGAACCTGAGTTAGGTAAAATAATTTATTTTCCACGTCCTTATGTCAGGTACGTTGATACCTTCAACAAGGGCGGTGGTGGAAATGCAGATCGTTCATTCCAGTCACCACCAATTTCATCCGTTAAACCCACAAATGTACCGAACCCAAGATTCTTTGTGCCCACACCAGTATCGAATAATGAACAACCAGTCGATACTCCTGTAACAAACGAGCAGAATATTTTATCCACTACTTACGAAGATCCTTCTACTGCTCCTCCTTCTAATGACCCGTCCTCATTTCAGTCCCCAGCTCCTCAATCTGCCGTGAACATGCAAAGATATGCCAGCATGAATAGCATCTCGAACAAAGGGGCAGGTGACAATGGCTCGTTTGGTTTACATTCGCGGCGCACTCTTTCTTGGAGTGGAAATTTCAATCATTCTTTCAGCTCGCCACAGAGCTCTGAAGGAAAACCTCTTGGGGAAGTATTGGGCATGCAACCCTCGACTTTCATGCGGAGCGAAACTTCTCTAGGGCATTCGTCAACGAGTGGCGGCAGTTTTGGAGACGAACTACATGAGGTGGAACTTTGATATCCTGTCCAGGTGTATATATATACATATATATATAACGAAATTTCTGTCATTTGGCCATAATCCTGCTGAAGTCCCACAAATTGTCTTGTAGGGAGAGAGGAGATTTGAAATTTTATTGTCGTTTTTTTGCTCCCATTGTTGCCTTATATTCTCCCCCTCTTTTCCTTATTACGGTTGGATTTTGAATCAGTTGTCGGTTATTAGTTTACTGTACTTTTTTATACAGATGTCTTGCTCATCGTTGGAATGATGAACAGTTGTGGTAGTCCAAATTGTACAGCTCATATCTACATTTATTGGTGAACAAGTTGGAACTTTTGTTAAGGAAACAGTGACAAAATACATTTGGTTTAATAAACAAGCATTTGAAGTTGGAATATGAGAATTTGTTCTAGAATGAGAATTTGTTCTAGAATGTATTTTGAAATTTATTGACGACTACATTTGCGCTTTTTTTATTGTGTGTGTGTGTGTGAGAGAGAGATAGAAAATGGCTCCATAACATCTCTTTTATCACAAAATCGATCCCACTCGATTTTACCGTCTTACCGAATTTTTTTACAGTTGGGTTACACACACTCGGCCACTCTAATAGGTGTGTTGATCCAACGATGATAAACTCGTTAAAAGACACTATACTCAGCGGGGTAGGGTCTCCAGCATCACATGCATCCTACTAAACTCATCGGGGTAGGGTCGAATTTTTCCAGCATCACATGCATCCCACTCTAATAGGTGTGTTGATCCAACGATGATAAACTTGTTAAAAGACACTACATTGGGGTAGGATTGAATTTTTCCAGCATCACATGCATCCGTTCGTTGATGATTTCGTTGCATTTAGCAATAAGATCCAATTAACTAATTAAAGATTTTCATTTGCATGTAGCAATAAGATCCAATAACCATAAACACACATTACTATTTGAAGTTGATGAGTAAAATTGTGTACAGAGGCTTGGTACTTCGTAGGCACACAAAACCAGTCATAACCAGAAACACATACATATGTGCAACTATTCCAATCTGCAACTAAACCCAAAATTATATATGTAATATATAGTTCATCATATACAACTATATATATCATCATATTCATAACTAACATCAAATTTCGGCAGCCGATGCAATCCCCATTTGTAGCCACCCTTCCACATAGTTCACGTCTGGTAAGTCACTCAGCCTCCTTAGCTTCTTCGTCTCCAATCCATCCCGACCCTCGATTTCCCGAGCCGAAAGACTGAGATTCAGATCTAGCTGGAGGTCGCGATCCGGCGCAGGCACGTACACGGGCTTTTGGTGGTCATACTCATCATACTGAAGCTCCTGAAAGCTCGGGATACTGTAAGCATTTTCGGCAGAGCTCGTCAGCCAGTGGCATCTCTTGTGACCGCCAAGCGCCTGCCCGGAGGCGAAAACCCGGAAGCAAACCGAGCATTCGTGCACCTTCGTCTTGTTCGTGGTCCGGGCCAAAACAGAGGGCCCGGGCTCATCCCGGCCCGAATCTTCTTCGAGCTCCGGCCCGGAGGCAAAACAGCCCTCGACTTTCTTGTGGCTCGCCCGGTGGCCGCCCAGCGCCTGGTGGGAGGCGAACATCTTCTTGCACGCCTTGCATTGGAAAACGAGCCCTTTCTCGGACGACCGGTGGGGCCAGTTTTGGTCTTTGTTGGAGAGCATGACGAGACAGCTGGCGAGATATTCATCCTCTTTGGTTAGGGCCCGATGGTCGGTAGTCGGCTTGTTCTTGCCCGGGACTATTTCTTTTGTGGGCTGGTGATGGCGACGAGATCGCCCTGGCTTACCTGGAGAAATACGATCGACGTCGGGCTTAGACGTTTCACTGCTGCTGCTGCTAATTATTTATCTACCGCTTTTATTTAATAAAGGATTTTTATTACCATTTTCATTATTATTAGAAGTATTATTTCTTATTTAATAGGGTTAGGAGGTTATAAATAAGTGGAGTCTTTCATTGTACAGCAGCTTTGAACGATTAAGAAATATTCTGTTCCTTGAACTTTATCTGCTCCCATTGTATGCTTTAATCTGCATCAGTTGATATCAGTAGACCAGATCGATTAAACGATGCCGCCTAAACGAAACAACGACAACGATCGACGAGATGCTCATCTGGAGGATTTGGATCGCCGAACAGATGATCTCGGCTTCCAAATTGAGAGGGTTGATCGGCGAGTTGAAGGGCTTTCGGAGGGTATCGATGAGATTCGCCTGGCTATGCGTACCTTGTTAGCGGATGAGCACACGGACCGCGACCCGGCAGGCCGTGGGGGTCGCGGTGGGCTTCGCGGCGGACGAGGCGGCAGAGGGCATGGCGGGGGACACCGCTATCGTTCACCTCCTCCGTCGCACGGCGAGGACAGCGGGGATGATACCTACTCGGAAATCAACCCTTTCGGTTTCCGGCAGGGCCAGCGAGACGCCAGCGAGGGCAGACGGTACGCGGAGCACCGCGAAGGTGACGACGGGGGTGGTGACCGTGGACCGCGCCGAGCGGCGGAGGGTGGCGATAGCCGCTGGGAATCTGGGTTCCGCGTGGAGGTGCCGGAATTTTCGGGCGGACTGGACGCTGCTGAATTTCTCGACTGGATTACCGCTGTGGAAAGAGTGCTGAATTTTAAAGATGTTCCAGATGAACGGCGCGTGGGGCTTGTAGCGATGCGTTTGCGTGGACGAGCCGGAGCGTGGCTCACTCAACTGGAGCAGCGGCGGCATCGGCTGGGGAAATCGCCAATTAATTCTTGGGCTAAGTTTCGTAAACACATGGAAGAGGAATTTCTCCCTTACAATTATGTTCGTACCATTTATCAGAAATTCCAAACACTCCGCCAAGGGAACAGGTCGGTTGACGACTACACTAAGGAATTCTATAAGTTGCTCACTCGAATTGATAGTCGTGAGACGTCGGACCAGTTGATATCTCGCTACATCAGTGGACTCCGCATACCGATCCAGGATGCCGTGAACATGTTTATACCGGACACCCTAAGCGACGCCCACCAACGCGCCCTTATGTCGGAGCAGCAGCAGGCTCGACGGACCACGTCGGGCTTCAATCCGGCGCGCATGGGCTCGGGCACGGGTAATGCGGGATCGGGTTTCTCTACAGGTCCATCTTCCGCTGGGCCCGCTACAGTTGGGCCAGGTCGAGCCGCCACGTTGGGGCCTGGGGGATCATCCACGACGGTCGGCGCGCAAGTGGGTCCTCGGCAGGGTGGCGGGTTGCGGTGTTTTTCCTGTGGGGAGGCGGGTCATCGACAGTCAACCTGCCCTCGATCGACCGGCGGACGTTCGATGTTTGTTGATGGTGGTGGAGACTCGGATGAGCAACCCGTCTATGATGGACCGCCGATTTTTGATGAGGACACCTCGGACTCGGTTGAATATCATCGTGGGGATATTGGGCAGGCACTTGTCCTACGTCGTTCTTGCTTGACACCTCATGGGGATGTTGATGCTTCTGGCCAGCGACACCAAATTTTTGAGTCCACATGCACGGTAGGTGATCGGGTTTGTCGATTTATTATTGATACGGGTTCTTGTGAAAATGTGATTGCAGAGGAAGCAGTGGACAAGCTCCGGTTGTCAACCGAGCCGCACCCGCGGCCTTATTCGTTGGCGTGGATACATCGTGGGAATGGCGTCACTGTCAACCGTCGAGTGCTTGTGTCTTTCTCTATCGGCGCGTCTTACGGGGACAAGATTTGGTGTGATGTTGTCCCCATGGATGCGTGTCATCTGTTGTTGGGTCGGCCCTGGCTGTTTGATCGGGAAGTTACTTACGATGGTCGTCTTAACACTTATACGTTCACTTTTGAGGGTGTTAAGATGATCCTGCAGTCGGCTCCGCCACGTCCCTTGCCACCGTCCTCCACTTCTCCGGTTTTGTTTCTCTCGAGCAAGGCATTCGTGGAGGAATTAAAGAATGGTCCACTTGTTCTCTTAGTGTTGGGTTCCGACTGTGATTCCTCTCGGCCTCCTCCAGCTTCCATCCTCCCTTTGTTGGAGGAATTTTCTGACGTTTTTCCTTCTGCGTTGCCATCGGGACTGCCTCCTTTGCGGGATATTCAGCATCAGATTGACTTGGTGCCGGGGGCGGCCCTTCCAAACCGTCCTCATTACCGCATGAGCCCAGCCGAGCATGACGAGCTTCGACGCCAAGTGGATGACCTGCTCCAGCGAGGGGTCATTCAGCGCAGTCTCAGCCCGTGTGCCGTTCCAGCTTTGTTGGTCCCCAAGAAGGATGACTCTTGGCGCATGTGTGTGGATAGTCGAGCCATTAATAAAATCACTGTGCGGTACCGTTTCCCCATTCCCTGACTGGATGACCTCTTAGACCAGCTACATGGGGCGACTATTTTCACTAAGCTTGACCTTCGGAGCGGTTATCACCAGATCCGTATTCGACCGGGAGACGAGTGGAAGACAGCATTCAAGATTCGGGAAGGCGTCTTTGAATGGTTGGTAATGCCTTTTGGCCTGTCCAACGCACCGAGTACTTTTATGCGAGTGATGAACCAGACTTTGCGGGATCTCATTGGTAAGTGTGTCGTCGTTTACTTCGACGACATTCTTATTTACAGCCGTTCTCTGGATGACCATTTGTTGCATGTGCGTGAGGTCTTGCTTATTCTTCGTGCGGAGTCCTTCTATGCGGCTCCTCAGAAGTGTGTGTTTTTGGTGGACTCGGTTCTCTTCTTAGGTTTTGTGGTGTCGGCAGCTGGCATTCGCGTGGACGAGGGCAAGGTGGCGGCAGTTCGCGATTGGCCTACGCCAACGACGATCACAGAGGCGAGGAGTTTCCACGGCCTCGCTTCGTTTTACCGTCGTTTTGTCCCGCATTTTAGTTCTATTATGGCTCCTATTACAGATTGCCTCGCCGGGAAATCGTTTGTGTGAACCGAGGCGGCGGCTGAGGCCTTTGCTTTGATTAAGGAGCGCCTCACTTCAGCTCCCGTGTTAGTTTTGCCCGACTTTTCTCGTCCCTTCGAGCTCTCTTGTGATGCTTCCAAGGTCGCCATTGGGGCGGTCCTTGGCCAAGACTCTCGCTCGGTCGCCTTCTTTAGTAAAAAGATCTCCGGGCCGCGGCTTCGTTATTGCACGTACGACATTGAGTTTTATGCTATCTACCGGGCCGTTCACTATTGGCGTCATTATCTTTTCCACCGTGAGTTTGTCCTTTTCTCTGATCATGAGTCCCTCCGTCACATTGCTTCCCAGGACAACATTTCGGCTCGCCATGCTACGTGGTCTTCGTATTTGCAGCAGTTCACATTCGTCCTGAAACACCGGTCGGGTTCGACTAATCGGGTGGCCGATGCACTTAGTCGCCGGGCCCTTTTGCTGACTGACATGCGTGTCCGAGTGGTCGGCTTCGACACGCTTCGAGAGTTATACGGTACTGACCCTTTCTTTGGCCCCATTTTACATCGCCTTTCTGCTGGTCCTTTTGAGGATTTTTTCCTTGATGATGGCTTTATTTTTCGGGGCGTGAGGTTGTGTATCCCGGATTGTAGCCTGCGATTGAAATTGGTCTCGGAATTGCATGGAGTTGGTCATGTGGGCCGGGATAGGTCTGTTGAATTGGTCCAGCGGTCGTACTTTTGGCCGACTCTGCGGCGCGATGTTGCCCGTTTTGTGGCCCGCTGTCGAATTTGTCATGTTTCTAAGGGGACAGCGACGAATGCGGGTCTCTATCGTCCTTTGCCGATTCCATCCCAGCCGTGGGCAGCCATCAGCATGGATTTTGTTTTGGGGTTACCGCGCACGCAACGGGGGTTTGACTCTATTTTTGTGGTGGTGGATCGTTTCTCTAAAATGGTTCACTTCATTCCTTGCAAGCGCACTTCCGATGCCCTCCATGTCGCGCAGTTGTTTTTTCGGGAGGTCTATCGCCTCCATGGTCTTCCGTCTTCGATCGTTTCCGACCGTGATTCCCGCTTTCTCAGCCACTTCTGGCGAAGCTTGTGGCGCCTCGCCAACACACGTCTCGATTTTAGCAGTGCTTACCACCCGCAAACGGACGGCCAGACGGAGGTCGTCAATCGCTCTCTTGGTAACCTTCTGCGTTGCTTGGTGGGTGAGAATTTGCGTAGTTGGGATGCCCGACTCAGTCAGGCCGAGTTCGCCCACAATTCGGCTGTCAGCCGATCCACGGGCATGTCGCCATTTCGCGTGGTTTATGGGGTGCAGCCGCGAGGTCCGATCGACTTACTGGCTCTGCCTCCTTCGGTCTAGCCGGATCAGCGGGCGGAGGATCTTATCGCGGGGCTGCAGCACACACATGCGGTGACCCGTGCCTGGCTCGAGGAGGTGACCGCCGCGTATAAACGGAGCGCGGATTCTCGCCGTCGGCTTGTTGAGTTTGACGTTGGCGACTACGTGTGGGCGGTGTTGACGAAGGACCGCTTTGCTGCTCATGAATATAACAAGCTCTCGGCCCGGAAGATTGGTCCTCTTGAGATCGTTGAGAAGATTAATCTCAATGCCTACCGTCTTCGCCTTCCTTCGCATGTTCGCACGTCGGACGTGTTTAATGTCAAACACCTTATTCCTTATCTTGGTGACAATTCGGACGACGAGATCGGCCTGGATTCGAGGGCGAATCCTCCCCAACCGGGGGGGAATGATGGCGACGAGATCGCCCTGGCTTACCTGGAGAAATACGATCGACGTCGGGCTTAGACGTTTCACTGCTGCTGCTGCTAATTATTTATCTACTGCTTTTATTTAATAAAGGATTTTTATTACCATTTTCATTATTATTAGAAGTATTATTTCTTATTTAATAGGGTTAGGAGGTTATAAATAAGTGGAGTCTTTCATTGTACAGGGGCTTTTGAACGATTATGAAATATTCTGTTCCTTTGAACTTTTATCTGCTCCCATTGTATGCTTAAATCTGCATCAGCTGGCTTGCACGAGCCCCTTTGGCCCGGAGAAAGTATGAATGCTTATTGTTGCTGTGGGCCCGAAAACTTTCTTGATTGTGTTTCTCTTCCATTCACTCTCACTCGTGTTTTTTTTTTTCCTTAGTTTCCTAAAACTCTTGAGATTACAGTTTACACACAATGTGTAGTTGAATTTACTAAAAGTGTTTGGTGATATATTGTAGTGAATATATATTTATAATAGAGTAATGCTACATAACCAACTAAGTGTACAACTAGGTTGACAACACAAGTGAAAACATTCATAAAATTAAAAATAAAAAATACCCAAGTGGATATTTACACTTGTATTGTCAACCTAGTTGTACACTAGGTTGGCAATGTAGCATTTTTCTTTATACTATAGTGTGTGTGGTGTTTGTGTGTGTGTGGTAGTACTGACTACTGAGTCAAAGAATGGTTTTATGTACCCAAGAGCATTTGGATGAGATGACTTAGGTCTCTTCCAGCTTAACCAGTGGTCTCGTGTTCGAGCCCTGAGAATGCAGCAGTGTTAAAACTCTTGAGGGAGAGCTTTACCGCCCTTGTGGTCCTACCCGGCTCGATTCCGGATTAGTCGGTTCCTCTATAGATCCGGAAACCGGAAGGTCCTTGTACCAAAAGGAATGATTTTCTGTTTTTCTTTTTTTTTTTTTTTATGAGTTTAATATCATAATATGTGCTATTTTTTAGCGTGAATTTGTTGTTGTTTTGCTTGTGGACGAGATTGGGTGGTGTTGAGTTTTTTTATATGATTTGTGGCTGTAAATTTTTAATTGTCACTTGTAATGTGGACTTTCGTGAGTAATTTATATATTTATTAATAAAAAAATAATAAGTGGACAAAAAACAACAAAAAAAGAGAGTAGTGGACCAACATAAAAAGTACGTATTTATAAAATACGTTTTCTGTATATTTTAATCAAAAAACGTATTCACTAAATACGTTTTTCACATTTTTTTTACAAAAGAAAACGTATTCACGGAATACGTTTTACAATTCAAAAATGTAGAAAATGTATTTGTAAAATACGTCCTTTTTATTTCTCTCTACTCCCCCTTTTTCCTTTCTTTTTTTGTCTTCAACTTAACATTTGATTTTTTTTTGTAAAAAAATCGGACTTTGGTAGTATTTTTTTCACCGCAAAATAAGGAGAATGTAATGGTATATGTTTTTGACTTATTGTAATAATTCTACAATTTTTTGACCTGATTATTACAAAAAGAACATTTACGGTAATGTGTACGTACGGTTGTCAGTCTTTTGATCTTTGTGCGTTGATGATCTTTGGAGTATATCAATGATTTGTCACCAAATTTTGTTTCAATAATAAATTTCATCTTTATATAATCACTCATTTGATATTTTGTCATTTAACTATTTTCTTTAAAAAGTAATATTTAATAATTTGACCAGTCATATCAAATAGGTGTGATCAGAAAAATTAAGTGATAATGCTTTCTATTACCATTTTAATTCTTTGTTGATCAAATTAATTCATTACACTTAACAACACAAGCGAACCTTGCGGAAATAAACCTCAAAATCTCTCGAGAAATTATGTATTGTTTATTGGCTTTTCAAGCTTTTTTTTGGATGTTTGACCAAGTTGGCAGTTTTGACTTGTTGACCCGCTAAAAAAATGTTGTTTGGTTTTCAGCTGTTTTATATAGCTTTTTGGTTGAAACGCTTCTCTTTGAGCGTTTGAGATCAGCGGCTGAAATTTTAATGCATGAATTTATTTAATTATCCCGTTAACAATTCATTTGAGTCTTTCAATTTTGATGGACTCTTGTTTTTAAAACTTACACGGTAATTTACTTATTTATATTGAGGGTAGGGGATGTTATTTTAGACCACCTCATTTTTTAAGTGCAGCAAAAAATTATATTTTTGTTGGGAAGATAACAAGAGTATTATTTGTGTCATTTATTTTTTTCAAATATTATTTTAGTATTTTGAAATCATTTATTTGTAGGTTTTTATTTATATTTTTATTTCACTTATTACTTCTACTATAACAAATATGAAAAAATAGCTTACTTTTAAGTTTAGTTTGTATTTTTATTTCACTTATTACTTTTACTATAAAAAATATAAAAAATTATTTAAAAATACTTATTATATTGAAAAATATTTTTTATGAGTATAAAATTTAACAAAGGAATAAAAAATGTATATTTTTATATATAAAAAATTGAAATTAATAATCCAAAATATATTTTTACAAATCAATAAGCTATTTTTACCAAACATAATTTTGAAAACCGCTATTACTATCCGCTAGTCAAATCAGCTGATACAATCCGCTGGTCAAAACAGCTGTTACAATCAGCTAGCAGCTAACTGTTATCTACCAAACAAGGACAATATCTTTTTTACCATATTTTTTAGACATTGGCCAACATTTTCTTACTGCCAAAAGTCAATATCTTTTTTTACCATTTTTATTAAACATTTTCTTACGGGCCACTTTTTAGTTGGTATTTTTTTTACGGGGAAAAAATTTTGACCAACTTGAACTTTCGCGCTTTTTTGGCTTTGCAACCTAATCTTTTAATTTTTATAAAATGCAACCCCAACTATACGATATTGATACTGTGCAACCTCAGCCACCGAAATTGGTCGGAAAGCTCCTTAAGCGGCGGAGCTGGCAACTTTTGTAAGGGTAAAATTGTAATCTTACTTTATATTTCGGTCTATAAATATAACATTCTCCTTCTGAATCCGAAAATCGAATTTTTTCCCCAATTTTTCCCCAATTCGCAAGAACCCTAACCCTAATTTTTTCCCCAAAATTTCCCCAATTTTCCCCAGAAAGTGAAACATCAAAACCCTAAATTGAAAACATAAATTAAGTGCAACAAACTTACCGTAATTTGGAACGAATATATTAGTTTAGGTAGTCGTGCGTTGCCCACGAATTTTCCAAACCACTTCACCAAATCATCAAAGATAGAGGGTTGTGAAATGGGGGAAATTGCCAATTTGGGGAACTCTGTATTTGAGATTGAAGAAATGGAGAGAAATGGTATTTTAATTGTTTTTTATGATGTAAGATTACAATTTTGCCCTCAAGCTCTGCCGTGTCGGTGGCTGAGGTTGCACAGTGTCAATATCGCATAGTTGGGGTTGTATTTTATAAAAATTAAAAGATTAGGTTGCAAAGCCAAAAAAGCGCGAAAGTTCAGGTTGGTCAAAATTTTTTTTCCTTTTTTTACTGGCAGCTAACCTAGTTTGTATTGGGGGTTCCAAAAAAATTGCAAGTAGGTATTTTCTTACTGCAGCTAACTGATTTGTATTCATGGTGTGGGGTTCCAAAAAAATTGCAAAAGTCATATCAAATTTTTAGATAGTTTGTATTACACAAAGTTGAAATTCTTATAACACTATAGTAACGTATGATATGATAATTCACGGGCTAGTGCTTCTTTGCCTTCACGGCTCAAGGATTTCAACGAGCGTAGTCATCCACCCCGTGGGCCGAGGTTTAAGAATTCTGATCGACTTTTATTCAAATTTGTATTATCACAGCACGAATTAAAAATTGGAACAGCTAATATTGTCTTGTTCCCCATGCTGTAACTATTAATGCAGATTATATACTTCAACGCACATTACATTTACTTTGGGGTTGAATTTTAAGTAGACATGTAACAGGAAATAATAATTCTAACTCAAATTTTATCATGTACAAAAACCTAAAAGATGGTTAACTTCATGCCACACTGATGTAGGGAAAGCATACGAATGGGAAGATAAAACGAGATACTCTCTCGAACTTGGGATACTCTCCCGAAAGAACACGATTAATTTCTCATTCTCAAATTCAACTGCTCCATTATTCCATCAAACACTAATAATAAATAGAACTCCTAACTTGATAAACAAGAAATAAATATTCTTCTAATCAAGATAGAAGATTATCCTAACCAACTCAATAGATAAGGAAGAGATAATAATAATGATGATAATAATAATAATAATAATAATAATAATAATAATAATAATAACAATAATAATAATAATAATAATTAATTATCCTCATCATTCTCCCCCGGTTGAGTAGGATTCGGCCTCGAATCCGATCCGTTCCAGTTGGAGCCGTCCCCATGACAAGAATACCGCTGACATACATTTCCCTCGATCGAACACGAATGTTGAAGGCCTACCAACAACCTCAAACATAAACATAACCTCGGTCAAGGACTTAACTGCTGCGAAGGCACATTTATACGTCACCATACGCAAAGCCGACACAGCCGAATTCAAACAAAATATAACACATCGTATGTCGCGCCCAAATCCATAACAATGGCCAAGCATCCCGTTAGTGGGAGACTTCATGTTCGGCAACCGGAAAATGGCCCTCCAGTTATTGAGCATCGATTTCGGCTCCAAAAAACTATCTTTGGCCAAAATATTCAACAAATCGGGTGTGAATGACGGCTTCACAGTCAAAGACTCAATCGTTGTGACGTCCATGCGGGACCCATATTACTGTAAAAAGATGTCTTCGGCACCGGAGGCTCCACATAAAAAATGGGCGAACCGTTGTACATTGGCCCGTCAACGTGATCCTCGTCGAAGGCAAAAATTTCAGCTCGAAACGGGCCCACCCCTTGACCAAATTCACTGCCATAATTCCTCTGCTGAAGCCCAATATTCGCAGCTATTGAAGAGGCCCAAAAATCGCGAGTGGGCTGCACCTGTTGAGGCCCAAAATCACAACCTAAGTCATCCCTGTCACACACCAAAAATCCGAGTCCATCTTCTGCCCCATGTACCTGAATCGCACATCTGCGAACTCCGAGAAATGGAGCGCCCCCAGCGTCACTCTTGGTGCCTCGCCACGCATCGCGGCCGCCGTCACCGGCGCGCCGCCAATCGCGAAAACCAGACCCGCCAAAAATCACCGCTGTCCAGGGCTGGCTCCGTCGAGTTTCGCGGCCCTCGCTGTCGGCAAAATCGGTCACGTGTTGTCGCCAATCGTGGTCGCCGGCGGTGGAAAAATTCTCAGCGGCGCGTCGACCGTGAAATTCCCATGCCGCTGCTAGACCTCCATCGGGCCTCTGCTTTTCTCGCCGCCGGAAATCGCCTAGGGTTTGTTCCTGCGGCCAGGCGGCGCGACCATGGTAGTCGTCGGCATCCTCAGCGACGCGACGAACATCGTTCCGACCGCAGCTCGCCTCAACATGCCGGAATTTGCTCACAGGTAAGTGCAACTTGTCCAAAACAGGCGCCTCCATTCGGTGTCGGTATGTGCCGCCGTCGCCGGCATCAACGCACCCGTCGTCCCAGCGGCGGCGCGGCCGATTGAACCCCTTGAAGCTTGAAGCATGTAGCAGAAAATTGTCATCTAGGGCTGAGGGATTGGGTGAAATTTTGTAGTCAAAACCCTCCTCAGGCCGCTGTCGTCTGTGAAATCGGACCGCTCCTAGGGTTTCCCCGTCGTCCCGCTCGCCACCATGTCCGAAACCACCTCCAGCCCACAGCCGCTCGCGAATTTGGGACTGACCCAGGGTGTCGGCTCCTTGCCCTGGTGGTCGCTCTGTAAATGGGTTAGTCGATCCGGTAGAGTCGCCAACGCCGTTGCCGTTAAGAGGTGGCTGGGATCGCTGTCGGGGCGCCCCGACATGGTTGCTTCCCCCACGACCGCCTCTGTATCCCCCGCGATAGTCACGGCCTCCATCACGGTCCGTCTGCCATTCCGTAACAACCACGTTGTTCGGCGTCAAACACACATCCTCGATCCCCGTCGAAAGATCGACAAACAAATTCGTGAAACGCACGTCCAACTCTTGAAATCGGTAGTCAATCTGTTGAAACCGATCGTAGAAGGTGGTGTCACGTTGTTTGTTTGCAGCATCTTCTCGTCCCGGCGGCATCGCGATCGTACTGACTGCCGATACCAACTGATGTATGGAAAGGCGTGAATGAAAGGGAAAAGATACAATACGAGATACTCTCTCGAACTTGGAATACTCTCCCGAAAGAACACGATTAATTTTTCATTCTCAAATTCAACTGATCCATTATTCCATCAAACACTAATAATAAAGAGAACTCCTAACTTGATAAACAAGAAATAAATATTCTTCTAATCAAGATAGAAGATTATCCTAACCAACTCAATAGATAAGAAAGAAATAATACTAATAATAATAATAATAATAATAATAATAATAATAATAATTAATTATCCTCATCATAATTAATTATCCTCATCACACACATGCTTGGATACAAAACATATCAATAAAATCCCAACAATTTTAACTCAATAACTATTTTTAACTATCAACTAACAATTTTAACTCAACAACAATTTTTAACTATCAACTTCACTTTCATGGATATTATTAAATATAATTAAATAATATTAATCAATCAATTTTACACAACACATCAACTTTAATTTACTATTCATCAACTCACATAATTTTAACTAATCATCACTTCAAATCTTCTCTCTCTTACTTTTATATCAAATTAATTTTAATCATTCTAATTTAAATATTATTTTAATATACCCACTAACAACTAACCATACCACATTTTTCAAAATTAACCAAATCAAACCAAACTAAAAAATTCCAAACAAAACTAAAAACTTTTATATCCAAGCCTAACAACCAAAGTCGGCTCGTTAGATAAACAAGTTGTAGCTCAGCTCGATTATCACTAATAACGAGTCAATCTCGAGCTTTAACGAGTCGAACGATAGAAAATTATAGTATAAAAAACTCTTTTCGAGACTTAACAAGCTGAACTGAGCCAAGTTCGTTTAATTTAACATCACTAGCCACCCTCAAGAAGAAAACACCATAAATCCCATATTCATATACTTATTTCCAATCGATAATATTCATTAATTCTTTGCTCCAATGTCCAGTCGAAACGTTCAAACAATCCATGTCATTTTACATTACAAACCAGTCCTCCAAATTCCGAAAGCAATGCATACACGTCTCCACCATATTGAAACCTAATCATCCATTATGTTCTATATTTCAAAGCTCATCAACATAACAACCACACTACACTACATACTTACCTCGAAACACGGTGCTTCCGTGCAATAACCACTTGTACCCAAGCAACAATTTGAATCCTGAATTTTTTTTTTTTTTTTTTACCAGAAGCAGTAATTCAGATTATGATCGCAGTAAAAAATTAAATATACCAACCCGTATTTCCAAGTTAGTTCATTCAACACCAACTCACCAAAATTCAAATTCAATAACCAATTCAGTATCTGTGATAAGGTCTCTCGAATTCATCTCGTCTGTGACGTTGAAAATCTTCATAAGGTTCTTGGGGGGGTCTCGGAGAAGGGTAAAAATGGTCCACAGCATTCGGGTACCGGCCTTTCGGGTGCTGCATACCATCTCCAGAATGATAAGGATTTCCAGAAGTAGTATCGATTTCTGCATAATGCAATTGCTTGTAGCCACCAAAACGAGATGCGGGAATATGCTGGCGTGCTTCTTGCCTCCTCCTCTGGCCCTCCGCCTGAAGAAATTCGGCCCACATATTCGCTTGTGTACCCCTCAGTGTAGCCGCCTTTTTTGTTCGACTTTCCCATATTTCCTTAAGGGCCTAATATGAATAAAATAAATAAATAAATAAATATGCATGTAATTTGTGCCTAGTTTTTAATGCATCTAGTATATATGCACACAAAAGCTCACATGTTTTTTTTTTTTTTAAATTACAAATTAATTAAAAAAAAATACACATAATCAATATTGAAGCATAACAAACCTCACGATGCTTGCAATTTTCTTCATCTTCTTCTTTGTCCCGAATCCTTGCAAGTTTCATGGCCTCCCTTTTATACTGAAACTCTAAATCCTCCAGTGACAGGGGAAAGGAAGGGTAGTCGAAATTATCTGACTGCACATTTGGTTTGCCTATGTCAGAATTCCATCCATCTGTCCTGATGCCACCTCTGTTGTGAGTATGGCCTTCGAACGAGTTATTATAGGAGTTCCCAAAGTACGAAGGACGTGCCGGAGACTTTGAACGGCTCGCTCGACCTCTAACTCCATCACTACCATAAGCTTCACCAAAGCAAGATTTTCATTAAGCACTTCAGTTTTTTTTTTTTTTTTGGTTCAACATCTCTAATAATTGCCGCAGCTATATCATTTGACACTATCTTTAGTGTATCCATCAGGGGGCAAACGAGACTTGATATGCTTTGATAAAATAATCAATTTTGGGAAGACAATCCCGTTTCAATTCAGAATCACCACGAAAGTTATATCAGAATCGAACACAACGCTTGAGCCTAAAAACTTACCTCTTGCTGCAAGAAAACATAACAAGAAGGAAGCAGCATTACAGAAAGATATGTAGCGCACACACACACACACACTAAAAGAGAGACATATATAAATCTTAACCTCCGTCCATATGTACAACGCTAAAAACAGATAACATCATAAGAGTTTATCATTCAAAGCTGCACCTACCATGGGGAGACCCATTTGACAATTTTTTAATATCTTGACGAACATGGTCTTCCACGACTCTCTCTTGTCTACTGTACCTATGTGGGACATGTGGAGAACTGTGAGGGCTGGAATTGGACTTTCGTCCCATTCTAGAGTTAAGCGGACTCCTATGTTCAAGTGACTTGGCATGCGTAACTGGCGAGCTAGAAGAACCTTTCTTCTCACCCTCTTCTTTAATTTTGTGAACAGCATCAACCCCTTTTCTCAAAATCAGCCTATCTTTGCCACTGACAATGATAAATTTTTCGTCCATCTTAATTTTACAACCAACGTCCTTCTCTATTTTGTTCACTACATCTTTCGAGAATAAACCTCTCACGTGAGGGTCTCTTGCAGGCACCCTCTCAAAGAAATCTTGTGACTTGCAATTTGCTCCGAGAGTAGATGGGCAACCCTAAAATTTTTTAATTTTTTTAGCAAATAAATTCTGATACACATATAATTAGGTGATCAAAACATTAAAGCAATGCCCATCATCTTCTCTGACAATATTTTGTTGAAAGGTACCTGAGTAAAGTGACCCGATTCCCCACATATTTTACAGATCATTTCCTCCTCTTTCCTCTTTTTCCAGTTCCTCTCAGTAGCTTTGGATTTAGCTTCCCAAACCTTTGCTTCTCGGCTGGTAAAATCTGTCGGGACAGCATTAGGGTCACGAGCTTCTTCTTCTTCTTCATCAGAACCAGCATGGGATCTTTTCTTTATTGTTTTATCTTGTTCTTTCGGTGGATTAGAACTCACAGGGCCAGTATAGGCCTTGTAGATTTCACTAAAATCATCATCCGCATCCACCTCATCCGTGCTTGTCATCTAGGCGTAACAGAAATATTCTGAAGTCTGCTTTGATTAGTTGATGCAAACGAGTCATTTAATGTAGGAAAAGGGAGGGGCACAAAGCACGGAAACTATAACAAGAACAAAATTTGAGTTGATAAAAAATATGTTCTTTTACACCAAAAACAAAAATTCAACAAGATAGAGCTAACTCGATATCGATTGCATACTTTTGGATATGTAATTTCCATGAAAAAAGGATCAGGAACCAGATATACCTCACAAAATCATGGTTACATTAAGAAAAAGAAGAATGAAAATATGAATAACAACATAAAAACAATCGAAGTACGCTGACTTTGGATTGACGAAATTCGACCCAAGACAATGTCATCACCTATCCATATGCCACATACAGATACACCACTTGGAGCCGCACAATCAATTCAACCTTAAATTCAAATCCCCCAAAAACGATTGTGAGACACAGAACACTTAGAATAAATAATTCATCAAAACGTTGAAATAAACAAGGCCACCAAATGAAGCTCAAGGACACAAAAACGAAGCAGGTAAAGAACACCACACATTCACGCGTTCCGAATTAAAAAAAAAAAATAAAAAATGAAGCTGCAAATGTGTTAGGCGCAGGCGCAGCAAATGAGTAATAATTGAACAAAAACAAATACAACAAATATCAAAATTTGATATTTAGGAAGTACCTGCAAATTGGCGAGGGTAATCGATGGAGATCAAACGGCAAGGTAGAGAAGGTGAACCAGCAGCTAGGGCTCTTCTAATCCCTTTCAGTTTGTCTGATTTTCGTTTTATTTTTGTTCTTCACTAGATATATATAGATTTAGGAGAATTCTACCATCCTGTTACGGGATGGTTCGTTGTGTTTTTAAGCGTTGGATTAACTACCCATCACTAGATTACATATATATCTATGGCTAGAAAACACAACGGAACCATCCTGTTATGGGATGGTAGCATTCTCCATAGATTTATCACTGTTCATTTTTTTTTTTCTTTTTTTTTTGTTTAGGCTAAACTAGGGTAAATTGCGCCAAACCCCCCTGTATTATACGAAATCTGCGCGTTTTCCCCCTGTATTTTAAAAATTGCGCCATACCCCCTTGTAATATACTTTTACATGCGCGAAACCCCCTAAACCGTCAAAAATGACGGCAGTGGTTTGCACGCGCGTGCTGTGCGATTTTTTCTTCATTTTTTCACCCTAAAGTGCCTGAAATTACTGCTTTACCCCTAAAGTAATTATAATGACGACAGTGGTTTGCTTTATATATATTACTGCTTTATATATATTATATAAATATATAATATATTATAGTTTGTAATATATTATAGTATATAATATGTAAATTTTAGACCCCCCAG